GAAAACCTGAGCTGTTCACCTTTTTTTTATTTAACCCTTCCTCCTGAGCCCTTTATATTTTTGAGCCTCCAGCCTGCCTTCCCAGTCTTTTTTACCAGAGTTTCTGACAGGTGCCTTCAAGGCTTTTTGACAGAGAAGTAAGTAGAGAGAACCCAAGTGAGTCCATATCCCTATGACTTTTCCCCTCATGGTTACTGATGAAATCTGATTCCCTTGTTAATTGTTTTTATTTAACCCTCCCTCTTGATCATATTCTATGTCTGTCAGAGCTCCTTCTTTCTCATCAACTCGTTACATAATTTATAAGTGTTGAGCTATACATACTGCATATTCATTTTTCTATTTGCTTTACACATGTATTTCAGGTTTCATTCACATTTCACAGTTTCTTTTGTACACCTGGAACAGCGGTCGTGGAAGTTCTCTTTCCTCATCCTTCCACGAACCACGTCACTCACCCCACCTCGTGCCGCTGTTTCCAGATCTCGTCAGCTTATCAGGTTATGAGCCTGCGCTAGCGGCTACGAACAGCAAAACAAAGCACGTTAAAGTACCTTGTTTATTGAATGACTCAATCACATTGTGAAGGATCACCCAAACTCTTGGGTATCGGCTCTTGCCTCACTGGACACTTCCGTCCATCTCTCGGTCTTCGACTACGATCAAACCTCTCGTCTCGCTTCGTATCTCGTATTGACTATCCCACTCTACTCGCAGTGCACGGCCGGGCCTCAACCATGGCCAACGACACTAGCAAATCAACCACCCCGGCTCTTGGCAATCAGAAGGGGCCAACCACTCTAATTGGTTCAGACCTCCCTCTCTCGTCTTCTCAGAAGATCTCCAGCGCGAGACTTCCAATTCTAAAAGCTCCCCGACCAGACTCGAACTACCTGGACTGGGAGTTTGTAGTCAGCTCGTACTTCGAAGCGGTAGGAGTCGACTACATCATTGAAGCCCAGGATGACGAGAAAGCCATCAAATCTCGTCCCGCCACCTGGGCCGCCGACAATAAAGCCGTCTGCTCGGTCATCACTCAGACAATTGATTCAACTAATCTGTGCCACATTCGTGACCATTGCAGGGACGCCCAAGGCATGTGGGTTGCCCTCCTCCGTGCTCATCAAGACTCCACCACCGGCGGTCGAGTTTACTGGATTCACAAGCTCCTCCTCGCAAAAATGGAGGGCGATGATATAATCTCTCACATCGAGGCTATGGCTCAATACTATGAACGCCTCAACGCGCTGGGCACGCCCAAAAAACCCCTCACGGCAGACGACGTGCACGTGCACTCAGCCGCCCTGCTCAGCTCAATTCCTCCGGACTGGATCAACTGCGTCTCAGCGCTCATGAACCAGGAAGGGGTGCAGACAAGAACGATTGTCCAAGCACTCAAAAACAAACATGTTCGTCGTCAATCACAATCCGATGTCGTCGCTGTCACCTCTGTCTCTTCTACCAAAACCAAACACCCTCCAAACCCTCGACCGAGTGATAATAACAAACAGAAACTCTGTTTCTTATGCAACATTGTAGGCCATGACCCTCAACAACTGCAACAACACCCGCCGGCTTCTCCTTGAACACAAGGCAAATCAGAAGCCGAAAGGAACTCCTAAGGACTCTAAGTCCTCCTCTCATTCAGGAAAACCTGCCGCGCGGGCCGGTCGAACCTCGGCTGCTACCCTAGGCACCACATCCTACGGCTATGACGAGGACGAAGAATCTGATTACTCGGGCTCAGAACTCGAAGTCACGGCAGGAAATGCTGTCGCCTCGCTATCCACATCTCTCTCCTTGTCTTTCGCGGGCGGGGATGCCAATCTGGACTCGGGCTGTTCCATGTCCATGACTCCTCATCTGGAATTGATCAAGGACCCAATACCCGATCGTACTCCTGTCAGACTAGCTGACCACTCAGTGGTAGAGGCTACCCACAGAGGTATATCAAAGCTTCCGATCAACGGCAACACCACTATCAAAACGCTGGTGGTTCCCTCACTTCACGAACCCCTCCTCTCCATAGCCAGATTGTGTGACGCGGGCCTCACAGTCGTCTTCAACAAGACCTCCTGCGACATTTTTGACTCCAACTCAACCACCGTCAAAGGAAACGTGGCTGGAATGGGCTATCGACGAGGGAACCTATACTATCTACCTTCCGAGCCCGTGAGCTCTTGTTCTTCTCTGTCTCTGTCTCCCAACCCCTCCAGACCACTCTCTCCTTGGGATATCATCACCGTTTCTCTCACATAGGCCTCCCGTCCCTTGAAACAACTGCCGAAATCCAATAACATCCTCCCCTCAGTTATGAACGAAATCGATGTCCAACGGCTGTCTAACTTGTGTGCAAGCAAAAATGGCAAGGAAAGCTTTCAAGACCCGAGCCGCCCACC